TTTCTTCTCTATTAATTTCTCTCCTACTGGCAGGTGACTTAAAGGTGCCTTGTGAGCTGGGCACATGTCCGTGGAGCACAGTGGCAGCTCCATCATGAGATTGACCCCATAAGGCATGGTGGAATGAATAATGCTTATGACTCAGTTCAGGGAATTCCATCTAACTCAATATGGAAAGCCTGAAGAAAGCCCTTTCTGTCTAAAAGCCATATAACAATTGAACTCACTTTCTAGATAGTCCTAATTCTGGTGCTACTGTTTATATAAAAGCAAAGACTTGGGCTGGGATGTGGCTCATGTGGTAATGTGGTCGCCTGGCATGCGTGGGGTGCTGGGTTCGATCCTCAGCACCACATAATATAAAATAAAGATGTTGTCTCCCCCGAAAACTAAAAAATAAATATTAAAAAATTCTCCCTCCCTCCCTCCCTCTTCCTCCCCCCACTCTAAAAAAAAGCAAAGACTTTTTCAAAAATGTGATTATCCTATTTGTTTTGTGTTACAAACTATCTAGGAATGAGGGTTGAGACATTAGTGATTTCATGTGTGTATCATTGAATAAGTTCTTTTGGGTTGACATATCTTCTTTTTATCATTTTAAAAATCCTTTTTTTTTTAATATCTAGCACTCTTCAGCCCTTCCAACTTAATCAACAAGCAGCATAAAAAACAAAGCAGCCTATCTTCATAGCTCTAGATATGAATGTCAAAGTCAGTAAGGTCTTTAAAACTTCAAAAAAGTTCAAAAGTTCATGAATGATTAAGATTTCCACACTTTTATATAACTTCCATACAGTCAGGCTCCCAGTGGAAGTTATTCAGGTTGCATTCAAAGTGAGCAGTGTCCCCTCTGACATGAAGCCATGTCGAAAACCAAAGTTTGAATTTGTGAGGACCCTGGGTGTCTCTACACTCTTTTCCTTGGGTAAACTTAATCAAATGTTATGATAGTCCTCCAACTCTTTGGTTTCAATCCCAGTATAACTTTGTAAAGAACTTCAAACTGTTTTCTATTTAGCTCTGTGCTAAGCGTTGTGATTTTAACAGTTCAGACAGTCCATATATGAGTGAGGGTTTAGTCACAGTATTGTTGGTCTATGTGACAAGTTTTAATGAAGAAAAGGTTATATTTGCATATTCTCTGGTTCCATTAACATTCTGAAGTGAAGCCCAGTAACAAATGAGTGTTGAGTTCAGCTTCTTAGAAAATTATAGATGCTTCTTGCTTCTTATTCTCCTTTTCTTTGTCTAGTTATATGTAACACCTGACATTTCTAGAGAGCCTACACTGTGTGCCATCTGTGCCTGTTATTGCCGATCTCCCACCAATATACCAGAGCAGGAATTATGATTTCAGGGAGGCAGATGGATTCCAAGTGCACCTATGTGGCAAATACTCCCCACCACATTCTGATCAGTGGAGGCTCAGGGGCAAGCTGGACAGACTTGAGCCCATGGCTGCAGAGAAAGTTGATGGGTCAGCAGGGTTCTAACCAGGTCTGGCTCCATCCAAAAAATCTTTTCCATTAACCCACCCTGCCTCTGAGGGAATAGCAAGAAAGAAAATAGTTTCAAAATGGCAAATGTTGATAGAAGCAAAAGCAATCTTTCTCTTTTCACTTCAATTTCTTCACATAAGCATAATGTCCAAATGGATACATGTCAATAAAAGGAAAGTTCTTAAAAAATTAGATGATGTCACATGATTATAAAAGAAAAATGTGTCCCTATAGCACTCTTAGCATTACAATTACTAGAATATATCTAGCTCTGAGTAGTTTACTAAGCACTTACCAATTTATGGTATCTTCCATGAGAACAGTGCTATTATTCTCTATAATATTATTCTGTTATTATATTACACTGTTACTCTCTATTTCATCTATGGAAGCCAAAGTCAACAAAGACTAAGAGACTATCCCATATTTACAAGATACAAGAGTTAAAGACAAATGTTCAAGTTCTGAACTCTTTTCCAGTTTTTCTGATGCCAAATCCTGAGATCATCCTCTTACAGTAGCCAAGGAACTGAGGCAGGAGAGAGTGATGCCCACCTGTCTCCAGGGTGACCAGCACAGAGAGCTGGGGAGGCAATGTAGAAGGCCAAGGGGACCTCCTGTCCTTTTACCAGGAATTCTGGGAGCCACCAAGGGTATGAAGCAGGAAATGGAGATAGCCAAGTTCATTTGAGTATGGTTAGATGATAGTGGGAAGGGCAGTGAGGTGGGGGGTGACTGACAGTTACAACTAGGTCTGTGGAGGTAGAAATAGGGATGGGTGGGGCTTTGGTATTCCAGAGGTTTGTGGCTAGAAGAGGTGTGGGAAGCCATCCTGACACGTGACTGGGCGGCTCCTGTTAAGGGTCTGAGGCGTTCTGGCTGTGTCGGAACTTTCCCGGCCCTTTCCTGATGAGAGAACCTGTCCGTGTGGGGGTGTGACTGACCACTGACCCTGGGGGCCCAATCACTGACCCTGACCTTGGAGTGCAGTCCCCCCTCAACCTTCATTGGATGGAATTCTCCCCTGAATTTCTTGTTCCCCAATAAAAGGCTACTCCCTGGCGTGTTCACTCTCTCTCTCTCCTGCTAGCCCTGAGTAATCCTTGCTGCCCTGCTGGGCAGTTAGAGGTTGGAGCCAGAGAGGGGAGCCGTCTCGGACCTGGCAATAGAAATAAGGTAACTGAGTCTGTGTGTTTTATTTCGATCTCTTCTAGCTAACTTTTATGCCAAGAATCTCATTAATGAAACCATTGCGCAGGCCGCATGGTGGAAAGAGGTGTTAAGCTGGTACCAGGTTCCTTCTGACCTATTAGTAGGGAGCTTGGATCTCTTCTGGATTCATGATTCTTTGGAATGTTCATTAGTCCCATATGAATTTTGGGGGGTGACATGTGTGGCTACACATGTTTACATTGTATGCATGTGTTCAAAAAGTCTCTAAGTCTTCTCCCCTGAAGCTCTTGTTCGAAAGGTATGTTCCTTGAGCCTTTGTCTAATAGAGCAATTACTACCTGGTTAATAAAATAGACTGAAATAAGTTCTTCACTAATCACTTCCTAATAGCCTAAACTTACTGAATTCATCTTGGTCACCCATTGTCTTAAATTTGTAGCTGCCCTGCAGATTTTGATGTTATTTGCAAGGCATGTAATTCTAGAGGGCTACTTTCATGAGAAGGACCATGCTATCTCCATATTGCAGTGGTGGTTTGGGATCATGCAACAAAAGGAAATTAAATTTGAAAGAAGAGCCAGCTTCACATATTTAGTTTTCTACTGTGATCACATATCAAGAAGGATTCAGCATCAGCAGTCACTTATACCTGTTTCCCAGCAAATGTAGTATTGTGCTGTGTGTCTGGTTGAGAATGTGCATGAATCTGCCTCCGGCGGTATGTAGATTTATTGAATAGTCAATGCACATGAAATCAAATGCTTTGTCTTTCCAATAAAAACAAAGCCACTTCAAAAGCCATCCTATTTCATAGTGTCTTCAGTAAAGCAAGCACCAACACATTTCAGGGTTTTCTTGACAGCTCTACCAGTTGTGATAAAGGAAAGATAAATAGAACAGGTTAGATCCTATGAGGAAACTTTTAACCTTTGTCTATTCCTTTCCATCCTATTTTTCATGACTATCTCCATGCAGATGACAGCGGTGACCTGACATCAGTAGGATGCATGCTTTTGAGTTGTTTCACGAGGAGTAGGAGTAGATGCTGCACAGCCATCTCATTCCTCCTGTAGCCCATCTTTCAGATAAACAGCACCCTTCTGTGCCTTGTGAGGTCAAGTTTTTATCTGTGGTCTCAGAGGTTGGTTTTTTATTTCTCAGTTAAAAATTGGTTCTCTGCTTCAAGAATAGAATCCATAGAGTTGGTCCTGTCAGCATTGTGATCTAACTGGTTGAGCTGAGAGATTTCAAAAAAAGAATATCCATTTGGACAATGGTACAATATCACTTCTGATTTAGGATATCTAGAGCATATTCCTTAAGTTTAAATTGAAAAATAGATTTTTGGAGTAGGTCAGATGTAAGAAGGAGGATTCAGGCAAAGAATATTTAGACATAAAATGTATTAACATTTTGTGAATACATGAATGTCTTTAAATAAATAATTTCCTCCTAAAATGTCATTTTGTTTTTTGTACTTTTGTCCCCAGAAAATCATTAAGGGAATATGTCTGTGTTTTATCTTTTCTTTTTTAATTTTTGTCTACTTTTTTCAGGACTGAAGCTCTTCTATTTTTTAAAGTGAGTTTATAAAAACAGCAACCACGAAAATGAAAATAATGATGTTATCAGCATCACCTACTATCATGAATTATATTTTCTCGTATCTGAAAATTTAGCTAAATGCCATGCCTCAGTTTTTTTTTTAAATAATATACTAGGAAAAGGTGATCTCTACAAAGTATCCATATAAGCCAAATTTAAAAAAGTGTATATTAATATAATCATGGGTCATCTTGTTATTTTTCATAATCATTATCTTCATAAATTTGGAACTTTAGTTGATACATTTAACTTCATATATATGTACATGTAATCTTTTTTTTTTTTTTTAACTTTTGGGTTCTAGGGATTGAACCCAGGGGCACTTGACCATTAGCCACATCCCCAGCCCTTTTTGTTTTCAATTTTGAGACAGAGTCTTGCTAAGTCACTAAGAACCTCACTAAATTGTTGAGGCCAGCTTTGAACTTGTGATCCTCCTGCTTTAGCCTGCCAAGTTGCTGGGATTACAGACGTGCACCACCATACCCAGCTATATGTGTCTAGAATCTTATATAATCAATGTGTATGGGTGCACTTAAAAACTATTTACATAAGGTGATCTTTTCAGGATGCTCTCTTAGATGTGTCCATGTGTAAAGAAACCAGAAGAACAATTGTGAAATATTTCTGTATAAACTAGTAAGTACAATTCATCAGTGTGCTAACCAGATGCCAGAGCCTAGAGGGCTCATCCTCATGTTCTCCTGCCTTCCTTTTGTTCAGAGAATTTGGATGGAGAGACCCAGAACTGCCCGAAGTGATCCAGATGTTGCAACATCAGTTTCCTTCAGTGCAGTCTAATGCTGCAGCCTGTTTACAACACCTCTGTTTTAGACAATAAAATTAAAGCTGAGGTAAGCACTACTTGGATTCTCAAATGAAAGGTGTCAGATGAGTAAGTATTCAGAATTTTTTAGAGAAATGTCAATGGGAAAAGACATCAGTTAAACTAAAGTTGTGTTTTCAGGTTTAGATCTCTCTTTAAGACGGAACCATCATTCTTTTCTTCCAGCATTAGAATACTGAGGCATAGAGGACCAAGGATGCATGCCAGAAGCAGCAGAGGCTAGATTATCAATGGCACATGTGGGTGTGCCTTCCTCTTCTGAATTCCATCTCTGGAGTCATCTCTGCCTCTAAGCCCTAAAAAATTACAAAGCATCAATTGCTATCTCCTCAAATTGCAATCAATATGAGGAGCTATGGCCTATCCTTCTTGGAGAACTCATTGAAAGAATGAGGATGTTAGGCAATATAATGGCTTTGCCTTATAAACAAGCATTTTGAAGCCATTTACAAAGGTAACAGCAGATATAATATGGATATATGTGATGCATTATAGAGACTATTGTCTGTGTCTATCACATAAATGATTGTCAACATGCCCATATAATATGGATATATGTGATGCATTATAGAGACTATTGTCTGTGTCTATCACATAAATGATTGTCAACATGCCCTGTTCTTTGGGAACACTCTAAAGTTCATAGCACCACTGCGGTGTGTGATTATTTTTGGAAAATCATTGTGGTCACTGCAACTCTGATTTTTTCAGATAAGGGAAAAGAATTTGCATACAAGCAGCTGAGTAATCAATTTTTTATAAAAAAGATTTTATAAGCTATAATGAGTCATCTCCATAGCATGTAAGCAATTTTGAGGATGAGTCTAAATTAGTTTAAGAGTGGAAAGAAGAGATTTGAAGATATAATTGCAATTTGTCATAGATTTTGCTTGCTCGCATTTGGATATATGTATAGCCCAGCAGCTTTTCATCTTTTTTCCCTCTCTTCCTCTGGGACTACAGAGGACTTGGTTCATGCCCATTCTTATCAGAAAAGTCATATATCTTTTTTGAATAAATGTGGAGCAGTGGTGTTCAACCAGGTGTGATTTTTTTCTCCCGAGTTACATTTGCTGTCTGGGGACAATTTTGGTTGTCAAAACTGGAGGAAGATGTGGTGATGCCACTGGTCTCTACTGGGTAGAGATCAAGGATGCTGCAAAATGTCCTATAATTCACAGGGAAGAACACAAAACTACCCAGCCCCAAGTGTGAATACTGCCAAATTTAGATACAGGGAAAATATTGCCCACCTAAGGCAAATTTAAAATGTGAAAAAATACCTACTGTTAAAATGACCTAAAAAGTCATCAAAGTCATGTGTCTCCCATCCCCAGTGGAACTCTCATCTTAGTCATTTGAATAGAAAACAAAAGATCCATACAAACTGAAGGACAGACTTCTGATGAGGGCATCATACACCAGCATGTAAGGTTCAGAAGAATGCAACCTGGAGAGTTTCTCAGTGGCCACAAAAGCATTCTGTCCACTGTTAGCCTGAGGTTGTCTCAGGAGTGTGGTGGTGTCCACCCGCAAGTGAGCTGGATCCCACTCAAATTGAGGTTCCAGTGTTGAGACTGCCAAGATCACTCTCACACCAAGAAGGTACAAAAAGGTGGGCTACCCACATGGTGAGGCTTTCCAGAATCAGCAGCATCACTGCCAATCACTCCAAAAAAATGGCTTGAGAGAGTTCTGGAGAGGAATCTGGCTGAGATCCTGGGGTGGTAGGCAATGGATTCTCTCTTGAGGACGGGACCTTGTGTGGAGGGAGATTCTTCCTATCAGCTTGTTCAGATGAGGGGCAGCAGACAGAAAGGAGCGATGGAAATCCAGGAATCAGGGGTGCTGTCCCACGGAGCTGTCCCCCAGTCTTTTCTAAAGTTTTTTTATTCTGAGACAGGGTCTTGCTAAGTTGCTGAGCCTGGTCTTGAACTAGAAAATCCTCTTCAGCTTCCCAAGTACTGAGATTACATGTGTGCACCACTGCATCTGGCAAAACTTTATCACAAGGGATCGTCTGGTCTGGCTGTACAGGCGTCATGGTTCAGGGTAGTTTGAACAGACTTCCTAACTGACCCTGTATGTGTTCCGGACTCATGGCCTAGGCATGGAGGTCTCAATAGTGATAATGGCTGGCACCTGGCTGTAGACTTACTTGTGGCCACACTGGAATTACCCTCAATGCCCTGTGGTTTCACATAGGCTGTTCAGTGAAGGGGCACATACATCACATCAGACAGAGGCAGCTTCCCATACTGGGGCCCCTGCTCATCAGTGGTTACCTGGAACAAACCAGTGTTGTCTACTGGAGCCTCTTACCTTTAAAATAGAGATGTGGATACCTTTGAGGGGATTAAGGGACTGCAGACTGCTTAGTGGTGGACATCCACTCATCATCACAGGAACCTAGTTAAGACACTGAAGCTATTTTACCTTATGAATATATGTGTGCACATGTGTGTATATATATGTCTTCTCTGTGCATGCATCTGTGTGTCTGCATATATCAGTGTGTACTTATTTTTACTTTGCTGTGGGTCCCCTCCAGGTCATCTGTATTACCTCTTAGTATTCGGAGTGCCTGCCAACAGCTGACCCTTGAGTAGTGGTTCAAATTATCCCAGCCCTCCTCACTGCACCTGATAGATTACTGGCTCCATGATGATGGTTCCTGGTACCTATGAGGCTGGGGTGAGGGATGGCAAGGGTGTAGGACTAGGGGCATGCCCTGATATCAAATGGAAAGCATGAGATCAAAGTTGCTGTCAGCCAGGGGGACAGAGACATGCAAAGGGCCTAAATAAAACCCAGAATGAGCAGCTCAGAGCTTTCCTTCCTCTCCACCCTCAGTCACATGGGGAGGTGTACATGCATGCAAAACTCTCATAAGAATCCTCCAGACCTGTTTTGTTCTCTCATCCCTACTCAGAGCCCAAACTATTAGTAATGGGTTCTCTGTTTGTGACAGATGGCTGCCTGTCATGTTTTCATATACAGGTATTGATTTTCGTAATTACCTGTTGTCCAAATACTAATCTTGCAGGCACTAGCCTTTCCAAATTTACTCAGTCCTCTAGTCTTTCTATTGCATTTTATTGGATTGATTTAGCCTTTCAGTCTACATTTCATTATTGGTATTGACTCTGCTCACACAATGGATTGGCCATTGATCAAAAGGCAAAATTAAATCTCCTATATGTGGAGGCCATAAACCATGCCTTGCTCGTTCCTTATTACAGTGCTTTGTACAGATTTCATATAATGAAGCCAAGAAATTCAGTTTTGTTCAAAATGATGCTGGATCTTATAGGTACAAAGTAGAGAATTCACTGGCATAAATCATAGACAAAAGCCCAGTCCTAACTTTTCCTTGTAGCCTAGTGAACTGGGGTTTGAGAGCCTCCTGGTGCACCTCCCAGAATTCAATTTGATTGATGTACAAATGTATGATTAAGTAAATGGTTTTTTAAAAATTAAAATAATCCCTTTTGGTCACTTAAAAATGTGGAAATATTTTTCAGTCTCTAGGAGATACATTACCTGGAATTCCGCCATTTAGGAAACCTGGGTGCGTGTGTGTGTCCTGGCTCATCCATAAATCTCAGGTGTGAGTGGGTCTTCCTCTACCTGCTGTTTTCATCAGAAGAAATGAAGAGAAATGCAGGAAAAAAACAGCATAAATAGAATGCTTTTGGGTTCAGGAGAGTGCCAGGTAGGGCCCAGCTTGATAGTCTCTAGTGACTTAGGTGAAGTTTGTATTCCATGGATCATCTTGACCCAGAGTCAGACATTTAGTGATTAGCACAGATCAGCCAGTGTGATTGGAGGACGTCACATAAGCAATGAGTCAGAGGTGGATAGAGATGAGATCTGAAGCCAAGCAGCTAAAAAAAATTAAAAGAGGTTGTAGGAAGCTGGAGAGGTGAAGAGGGGGCTAGGTTCTGATCACAAACACGCCACATGTGTGTGGCTCTTTTTCATGGACAATGGCTATCTGATCTATAAGTGGGTCCACCTGTGTTAATGGGCAGAGGCACCATTAGGGTGGATAGATGTCAGGGTGTGTGAACAATGCCTGTGGTCCACACTGTCTCCTACATTGTTGGCAATGTCACAATAAATTGAGTTTCAGAGAAATTGTTAGACCAGGCAACTAGCTTATGTGTATGGAATGCAGGGGGCTTTGCAGGGGTGCCTCAACATAGGTAACTTCTGGATATTTTCACAAATCCTTTCTTCTTTTTTTCTAGGAACTCCTGCTCAGGTGAGAATATTAAGAGCATCTCATTGGTTGAGGATAATTCTAAGTGCCTTTCATGGGTTGTGATCATTTCAGTTTTTTTTATGCTATTTTTTCTCATTTCTTCTGATGAAAACGGTGGACTAGGCAGATAGAGGGACACTCACATTCACACCTGAGAGTTATGTATGATCCAGGACACACACACACACACACACACACACACACACACACACACACCAGTGGTTATCTAAATGGCAGCATTCGCTGTAATGCGTCTCCTAGAGACTCTAGGAAAAATATTTCCACATTTTTGAATGTCCCAAAGGGATTATCTTAATTTTTTTTTAATTTTAAAAATATTTTACTTAATTACACATTGATCAATCAATCAAATTTAATTATAATTTTATTTGATAAAAATTTTAAGTATTTAAATAATTAAAAAAAATTAGTTAAAAGATGTTTTTATTCACTTAAACAATGTGCCTTTTTTCAGATCACAATATGACATTGCCTGTAGGAAGGGTTGGCTATAGTCTCTTCTTTATGACAGAAGTGGTCACTGATCACCAGTGATGAGGATTAATTTAGGGCCCAAGGTGGTGGTTCATGCCTCTAATCCTGATTGCTCAGGAGGTAGAGGCTGGAGGATCCAAGCTCCAGGCCAGCCTCAGCAACTTAGTGAAAACATCTCTCCAAATAAACTATTTAAATAGTTGGGGAGGTAGCATAGAGGCAGAATGCTTCTTGGCTCAATCCTC